TACTGTCCCACGGCAGCCCGCCGCCGCGCACAATGCCGCCTCCGCCGCCCGCGGCGCCCAGGACGGAGCCGAGGGGCCGCGACGAGGATTCGGAGAAAACCAGGGGGAGAGTAAACAGCAAAATGGGTAGGTGGGATTTATTTTTTTGCTGTGAGGGTCTTTCCTCACAGGAAAAAAGCTGGGCTTGTTTAAGGGCTAAATAAAACACAGCTTGGAGGAGTCGTTTAAGGCTCAGAAGCGGAACTGTGAGGAAGGACTCGCATCTCAAGAGGGATGCTTCGAAGGGCCAAGCGAGGCTTTCCATGATGATTTTTCTCAAAAGTGAATTTACATCAGTTCATGGAGTCTCACAGCTAAACTGAATCAGGCCACAAATACTTTACGTGATGGGTCGTATCACGATGTGTTCTGCACCTTACGACAAGCCCGGTATTAATTTTGATGTCCGTGTCTCACTGTATATTTTGACTCCCGATACGGCAACTGAAAGCAGCAGGCACTCAAAAATGCAAAGCGGTCTGTCAAGAAGGATCAGCAGGTGTTGCAATGGCTGGGAATGAGATGCTCTGAAAGACCAACCATGGCCCTGGCAGGACCAGGGGAGAAAGGTCCCAGAAGGGAGACAAAGAGTCAGATATCACATTACTTCTCTGCACCACGCATGAGAAACTTTGCACAGGCAAGGAAGCTGGCAGGGTTAAGCAGGTTTTTTTCAGCATTAGAATATAAATCCCTCAACTTAAATGTTACCTTTACCCTAAAGGGGCAACACAGATTTAAAATTGGAGTAATTTTTGTATTCAAATAATCATTTATGTTAAAGTAGATAGTGGAGACCTAACACTTAAGGGACTGCAAGGCTGTATAAAAGTCTTCTACTATTTTTGGTGTAGCATCTGCACTAGTAAACAATAGGTTTGTAAATTAAACGGGACCTGGCAGCAATCCCGGGCACTCGAACCTGCACTGCTGCCCTGTTTCAGTGGCACACTTTTGGCTGAGGCTGCCTTGGACTCTCCCAGAAATTCCTGGGCAGGGCTCAGGAGCTGCAGTGCCCCAGAGACTAGTTCCCTTCGGACAGAGGAGGAGGCTGGATGTGAGCAATCCCATGCCAGGTGGCCTCTGTATTCAGCAGCAGTGTCCGGTGGATTGAATTCAGTAATAAAAAGGGCAGAAGGGGAACTGTAGTTTTCTCGTCAATCTTAAAAGCGTAAAACCTGTGCTTCAAACCTAAAAGCTGTGGTTACTATTTCCCATCCCTTAAAGGAAAGGGGCTGGAGAAATAGGCCTAGTATCTCTCTCTTCTGATATTCTCTCAGTATATAAAGTATACAAAGAACCCTACACAAAGGTAAATGTCCGCATCAACTAAAATACTGAATAAATTACTGAATAAATTACAGTTTAAGTCGAGTTTTTCATGGAGGGGAAAAACTTCTTTAGATACCTATTCCCTTTATATTGCAGTACAAATAATTTTCCATATGTGGACTCATGTAATGCAGTCCATATGCATTTTATATCACACCGTTGTTATGGTAACTTCCAGCCCTTTCTTAAACAGCTGATGGCAGGAGTCCACACTGCTTAGAAGTGGGATGAAATCTGGAGATCCCAAGGACTCCTCCATGCTCATAGACTTGTTGAATGCACTTTGGCAAACTGTCCCTATCT